GTATTGTTCGATACAGCACTGTTCGGTACGGGTACATGTATTGTTGCACCCCTACTAAGTACTGTGTGAAGTTCCTCCTCTGAATCTCATCAGTACATCTGACTGTTGTGTGGTTTTGTGTTGGCTAAACTTGAGTAGCTGTGGCAACAAATAAAATAGGAACAAAAAGCATTTCAAAAGTGGTTTGATATCCTTATATTTTAATAGTAATTTCACAATGACAAACATAAACCAAAAATCATATTCTTTAACAATATGTCTGTGAAAACAAATAAAAGCTGTTCCCTTGACTCCAAATTTTAAATTTGAAAAACACTTTAAATCATGAAAAAAAGTATCATTTTATGAATGTGATGACGCAAACCATCAAAGTCTGAACTCTGTGCAAAACACGAAAATATTTCCAGTGCATATGAAACTCCGTTAAACATTACTTTACAACATGCGACTTCAGAAATATTTAGTTTTATTCTAATTACTATAATTGTCAGGATTAGAGTGAAACTTGTTTTCCATACAAGATTCAAAATGTATTAAAGCTGCATTGGCACTTTTCAGAGCTTAGCTTATTTTAAAGTGTGTGTATGCTTCATTTCCAGTGACAAAATCAAAGTAACAGATTATCTGAATACTTTCTCACGTTCTGTCTTAACAGTAAAATGTGCAGAAAAGATGCTTTACAAACAAGATTCAGAAAAAAAAAGTTACTCATTAAATGTTTGGCAAGTTTTAGAAAATATCCAGAAAATAGTTGTACCAAAGATCTTACAGACACTCAATAATCCTACAAGTGACTGTTGGATGAAACCAGGGTTCAGTTCAGTATACATCCATCAGAGTTGTGACTGAGAGGGACTGGGACAACTCTGCAACACTGGTGGGCTGCCAGGCTTCAAAACGGACAGTTCTGTTTCTCGACACCATCAGGAAGCCATTAGAGCTGAAACGTCCCGGGACGTGTCCCACATCGAGCCAGACGAAAGGAGCCACAGAGTCAGAGTGGAGGACRACYGTGAAGCCAGACTTGTCCTCCTGCACCTTCGCCTGCAAAAAAAACAACAACAAAAGAACAAGTCAGCTTGTTCATATAGCATCAAGTCACAACAGAAGACATTTCAGTTAACTACACGAAGAGAAAACAAATGTTTTCTTTCCCTGCTCCCTCCTRTAAGGGTCACCACAGAAACCAAACCTGCCTGAAACATTTGACGATTGTTGTAGCCGGACGTTGCTGACACGACCAGCCTCAGGATTACAGACTACCATGGACCACCGAGTTACAGCAGCCACAGCAAAGTACCAAGTCCAAATCTGACATCTAATTCAGTTCAAAACAGATCCAGAGCCAGTTGCATTTAAAAATCACCCCCGGGTCAGGGAGGAGTCTCTGCCTCAGGTGTAGGAGCTTCAGTATCAGAGTATCTTGTTCATGAGCGACGGATTGGGGCCTCATCCTCAGTAATGAGGGCGTTGCTTCGGTCAATTGTGGTGGAAAAAAGAACTGAGTCAAAGGACAAAGCTCTYRGTTTACTGGTCCRTATWCSTTCCATTCATACATTGGCCGGGCTCAGCCTTAGAGATAGGGGGAAGTGTTCMGTCACTGGGGGGGAGCTGGGACTAGAGCCACTGCTCCTCTGCGCTGAAAGGAGTCAGTTGAGGTGGTTCGGGCCTCTGAGTGTTCCAGGCACGTTCCCCAGGGAAGACCCAGGAACTGCTGGAGGGATTATGTATCCTCTCTGGCCTGGTAACCCCTCAGGGTCCCCCAGGATGAGGTGTAGTGTCACTGAGGAGAGGGTCTGGGTTTGTCTCCTAGACTTGTTGCCTCTGTGACCAAACTACAAACTAGCATCAGAAGATGGAGATATCACAATACGATCCCATTCAGGACATCACAAAATAAAAGGTCTATCAGGCCCGCAAAGGTCAACGAATGATCTAAATGTTAAATATAAAACATTCCGAACAGCAGCTGGTCCATAAGGACGCCCCAGCTAAAACAAAATGCATCCACCTCACAAAGTAGTTCCTTCTAATAAATAACGTAAGTTGCTTATTTACTTAGCTTGCAAAGTATTGTTTTGTTCTGTGTTATTTTTTTACAAATATAAATTGAATTTTATGTTTTTCAGTGATTCATTCGCAGTTTCTGTTGCTTTTAGCACATTGATATGAACATTAGACCCAACGTGAGCTCATGAAACACAGGAATAACGCTCAGCAAAACTCGTGTCCAACAAAGCAGGAGATATTCTGTTTGAAAATGTATTTGGACAAGACAGAGCAAGCTTGAACTGAACACTGAAAAATAAGGACATAAAAAGGGAAATAAAAAACAGGACTTCTTCGCCAAGAACGTAGAAGATATTTACTGTAATCTGTGGCAACTCTGTGAATTACGGAGCTAAGTTTGTGCTAATATAGAGCTGCGGTCATGAAATCATTAGTCTGTGAGTTTGAGTCTTGGGCCTTGGAGGATGCATAGTTCACCTTTTTTTTTACTTTTATAGAATTAGGTCACAAAACATCTTACCGCCATTTAGCTTTGTTAATCTGGAGTGTAACTGCAGAATCATTACTTAAAATTAAATTAGAAATCTAATCTAGAAAGCTGTGTAGCTACCTTTCTATTAATTTTACCCACAATTGAAATACAAAATATGGTGGAGCAGGAGGTGTTTTTCTGATTTAATATTAGAACAAACTTTACTTGATTTATTTATTTATTTTTTAACGATACAACCTGCAAGGAGGGAGGGAGAAAAAGACAACAACTTGTGCATAAATAACTGATTAAAAGTAACACAGTCCTTATATTTTTCACAGAAAACATGCAGCAAATTGTAACATACGTGTTGACATTGATTTAGGAAATTAATGTCCGCCCCACTAATATTTATGTTGACAAGCCACTACAGGAGGCTTTTATTTTGAAGGCAAGCAGACGTTTATCTGTAGCGTGTCTCCACTGGAGATTTTCGTTCAGGTCGTAGACTGAATTTCTGCAGGACTTTTTTAGAGCTTCTCTGCTCACTGACTTCATGTGTGTGAAAGGAATTTAGCTTTATTAATTACTGTGATGTTGGGTCTCTGAAGGCCCTGAGCATCTTTAGGTGAGCAGAGGAAATGGTGGTTGGTGGGACCCTGCTGGACGCTGCGCTCGTCCTCCAGGTGGAAGCTGAGCAGGCAGGTGAGGCGGCTGCAGCGTCCACATCCTGCCAGCAAGGAAGCCACGGGTTGTTTGTAGATGGCCGCTGCGCTGCCGCCCGACACCAGCAGCTGGTCCGACGTCCGGGTGCAGACTGAGTCCAGGTCAGACCAGGAGTACACGTTCACCTGAGTCACAAATTAAAAAAAGAGCCTTTTCTGCTGATGTACTGGATAAGAAGCCGACCATTTTACACCTGAGTTACAGACTAAGATCGTCTCATGTTGAGAATCGAGAAAGTTGTTTTTTCTTTTTGTTGAATTGAAAATTGTTTCATTTTTACTGAAATGATTAAAACAATAAACTAAACTAAAAACAAACTTTAAACAAGACGTTAAGCTCAGAGTGCACGTTGTGAATGACTCTCAGCGACTACTACAGCAAATTTTAGCTCAACATCTGTAACATAAGCTGAATTGTAACCGTTTTTGTGTGGCAGCTATCTTAACCTGGACTGACTCCAAAACATTACCCAATAATTACTTTCTGAAAGTTTTAATTAAACTTCATATCATTATAATATATATATATAT